GTATCATGTACAAAGCAATGGAAAGAGATGTTATACTTATTAAAAAGAGATCCTAGAGAAAGCATACAAGGAAAAAAGGATGGGGCTGAGAACAGAGCCTTGAAGCACCACACAACTAAGCACAGCTGAGGAGCATGAAAAACCACCCAGACTGACTGAAGAAGTCCTGTGAGTCAGATAGGACTTAAACCAGTTTAATGTAGTGCCGCTTATACCACAACATGTTTCAAGCCAAGAAAGAAGTGTCCTATGGTCTACAGTAGCAAATGCAGCACTAAGATCTAAAAGTACTAAAAGAGCAGAAGCCACTGAACCAATTATTAATAAAAGATCACTAAAAGCTTTTAAAAGTGCAGAAACAGTACTATGGGGTGCTTTAAAACCAGAATTAAATAGTATTGGCATTAAGGAAGGACTGGAGCTCTACGTCTCTGACAAGCAGTCACCAGCCACATCGACCTGATCAGTGTTTAATTGTTGTCTTGTTGCTTTTCTTCTTTTGTCTCTCCTCTTTCCACTCACCCCAACCGGTCGAGGCAGAAGGCCGCCCACCAAGAGCCGGGGTCTATTGGAGGTTTCTTCCGTTAAAGGGAGTTTTTCCTCCCCACTGTCGCCAAGTGCTTGCTCAAGGGGGATTTGTTGGGTTTTCCCTATGTAATAATATTGATAACAGTAAGGTCTAGACCTTAGTTTGTAAAGTGTCCTGAGATGACTTTTGTTGTGATTTGGCGCTATACAAATAAGATTTGATTTGATTTGATTTGATTTGACTAAGGAAGAAAAACAACTTTCTCAAGAACTTTAGAGAGGAAAGGCAATTTAGAAATTGGCCTAAAGTTAGAAAGAACAGTGAAGTCTAGGTTAGGCTTTTTTTAAATCAAGGGTTGCACTACAGCAGGTTTAAAATCAGTCTGGACAAGACCCTATCTTAAGACAGCAGTTAGTCATGGCCAGAATACTTGGCCCAATAGTATCAAGCATGTCTTTCAAAAGATGGGAAGGAACAATGTCAACAGGGCAGTTTGTTGGCTTTAAGTGAAAAACAACCTCTCTTGACTGTGGAAGAGACACAGGCTCAAGTTGACCCAACACAGTCGAGCATGAAGGAGGAAGAGATGGATCATGAAGGGGCAATATAATGTGAGACCTAATGTCAACAATATTGCCAATAAGTTGCCACAGATAGTTTAAGATATATTGCCGTGCATAAGATCAGGGGAATAACAACAGTACTGATAGTATTAAATAGAACTCTTGATCTGTGATGATTATTTTCAATAAGCTTCAAAAAATACACTGTTCTTGCAGCTTTAACAGCCTTCTGATAGTTTGAAACACTGTCTCAAAATATCAAATGATACTTGTAACTTATTCAGTAACTGTAGTTAGGAGGACAAGAAGGAGAGGCAAACAGAAACACAGAGTTTGAGTAATGAAAAAAACTAAATGAACATGTCTCATGTTCCAGATACTTCAAGCCTCTAATTTTCCCCAGTGGAGGAAAATTACATTAGAGAGGAGAGAGTGTAGCAGTAGAAAAGTGAAGGGCAACACATTTCCCAGCAGTAGGTGAGTGACCCATCTCTCAGTCTTCAGACTAATGAGAGAGAATGAAGCCAAACTACAGTAAAGCAGCCACAGTGCACCACATTCTGACACTGGGAACAGTCAGGCCACTGTAGGACAACAGAGGGGGCTCGAGGAGGAGCTGTCACTCACACATGTCCCACACAACAATGATTCACTCTGTCAGACCGATTGCACAGCTTGAGTATTATATGTGTGTAGGGCAGCATGGTGATGCAGTGGTTAGCGTTGTTGCCTGACAGCAGTAAAGTTCCAGGTTCAAACCCTGGCCGACCCGGTACCTTTCACTGTGTGTTTTGCATGTTCTCCCTGTGCCTGTGTGGGTTCTCTGCAGGTACTTTGGCTTCCTCCCGCAATCCAAAGACATGCTGCTTAGGTTGACTGGCAACTCTAAATTTCCCGTAGGAGTGAGTGTGAGTGTGTTTGGTTGTTTGTTTGTAAAAAAACAAAATACAATGGCTAAAAACAGATGCAAAACAACTACAACAGGACACAAAACAATCACAAGAAGACAAACTTGACTACAAATCGCATGGTTACTCAATCTGTGAGGCACCATGTTGCATTTGTAGGTGATGTACATGTCTGATAATCTGTCTATGCCCCTCCCCACTTGCCCTTGCTACCCTGCACTCACACTCTGGTCCACAGCATGTTTACATCACCATGATGCAACTAAAGACAAATGGTCTCACATAGCACAAAGTGTTCAGATTCTGTGTTTGGGCACGGTAAGTGATCACACTATGTGTACTGTGCTCGAGTCTAGCTGAAACGTGCCAGGGCCCACCTCTTCAAGCTGAACTGAACCATGCCTGGGCACAGCACTGAGCACACTAGTGATCTCTGTGGAGTCTGTGGAGGCTCTGTGGAAGTGTTAAGACTCTGAGGGCTGTAGAAGTCACATGACCCACCCTGCAATCATGTGGTTTGTTATGGTCATATGAGTCATGGTACACAGTGCTTAATTTGTAAATTATGAGGAGGTCCCAGAATAAAAAAACTCCTCAATGACTGGTGTGTTTATGTTTTTTCCACATTAAGGAAGCAGCTTAGAAGCAAAACATTGTTTGTTGTGTGTTTGTAGGGACCCCAAAAAATTATTATTTGTACAACCAGCCTTTTAGAAGACATGCATTTGCAAGTGCAAGTTATAAATGTTGAGCGCAATTGATGCTCAATACATTAGGACTGCGAGGATACAGCGTCTAATCCAGTCAATCAATAGCAAGTGTGACCTTATATTTGGGGCCTTATTACTCCATTACACATTAACATTATAGTAATATTACAGAAACAAATTTAAACCACACTAGAGACTATATAATGCAGTAATGTTATATAAACATGTTCTTAACTTCCATTATTTAAAACAGCCCATAGCGCAGTCATGGAGTAGGAGTCCTGTTTCATGTTATTCTGTGCTTTTCTTCTGTGATCTTGGGCAGTCGGTCCTATGTCCTTTTGAAATCCACGACCTCATCATTGACTGGCTTGTGCTAATCTTTTCAATAACAGTTGCAGGCTTTATACAGTAACTGGGTCCATCTTGGCCTGTTAGCTTCTGATTTCTGACTAATGTAGACTCACTGTCTTTCAGACATAACAGTATTCCAGACACTTGACCTTAAGCTCTTCCAGATCATGAACCAAATATATAGGTGTGTGTTCATCATTGTTCTCTTTCTTTTCTCTTCTGAATCATCCAAGAGGCATCTGTTCCATTCTTTTGAGAAAGCTCAAAGCAAGCTTCCACTGTTCACCCGTGGCTACATGAACAATGGT